TGTAAATGAAATAGTCACAGTCATGTCATGGATTGAACTTCATGACATTCTCCATTTTCTAGCTGTTGTTATTTCCATTCTTAGTCTCATTAAGAGCAAGCTAGCACCTGCATTCTATACATGCTAGCATAGCACCAGACTTCCTTTGCAAGGTGAAGTTGTAACTCACATGGCAAATCTATGAGCATGAATATTCTCTGTATGGCAGCTTTTAGTTGGAAAAAAAAAAAAAGTAATGGATGTGCCCTATATGCCAAAATCTACTAGTTAACATCATTTTTCCTTTTTCATTACAACCRAACAGAACTTAATCTCAAAGTTACTGGAGAGAATGCCTGGCCAAACCTCAAATGGGGCTGTATGTGGCCTCACCATACCTCAGAGAGGTATTAAACCTCACTTGAATGAATAGCCAAGCCCTGAACTGTGCTGATTGGCTTGATGCAAATGAAAAGACATAAAAAAACACTGTAAAACTAAGGGCTAGATTTTTCTAAAAGGTGGAGGGGTGGAGAAATAAAGGAAACAACAAAAATGTTTAGAGGACACTTGATTTCCTAGATTAGATTGAACAGTGTAAAATTCAGCTGATCCGAGTAGGCACAGTATACCAAAGATATCAGCAACATGCTGGTGCTGAGTTTCACCAGAAACCCATTTCAGGGTAAGACAGAAAACYGTTATTTCTAATTTCCTGACTGTCTTTGAAACAAGGTGCCACAATGTCTTTGAAACTAYGATTTCACACAAGCTTAGTAATATTGTTATGATGCTGTTTTTCTTTTGRGGGGGAGGATGGATATTGGAACTAAAATGAGTACAATGAATGTCAGAAATAATAGCTTTAGTCCACTATGACTTATGTTACCATGACACATTTTTTTGGAGCAAAACAGTTATGGAAGGAAGYAAGACTGTATGTGATTGACACTATATTGGGTCCTTTGATCTGTTGGGTGAGGAGTAACACGATTATTTCTGCTAGCAATGACAAGCAAAAAACCTAAAAACACATAGTCAATGCAATCAACATCTTTTTACTGAAGACTTGCTTAATTTCTTTCCTCATAGGCTAAGATGCTTCTGCTAGAGGAAGTATACGCCAAATAAAATTAAAGTTGTTTTAAAGTTGGGGATTTTTTTTTTCATTATTTCAAAAAAGTTTTGAGGAAGTGATTTTTATGCTAAAGACAGTAAAATGTCATGACTAACTTCACAGTACAGTATGCTTCTTTTAATACAACCAAAATAGGAGAACAAAGTACTCAAGAAAATCTTATTTTTTTGTAATTATTCAAGTAGCATATTCACTAAAAGCCACAAAATACAAATTGCCYGAGTTAAAATGAATTCTTCTTAAAATTCTTGCTATTGAGATTTTAATGAGAATTTATTTTTGATATGGACTATACAAAGTATCTTTACCATTAAAAAAAAAAAAAAGAAGGCCGACTTTATCTGTTGGACTGCTTAAAGTTTAAGAAATGACTTGAGCAATTTAAACCATTTATATTTTGGTTTAGA